GGAAATGGGGGGGGGGGTTGGACAAAAACCCCAAATCAATCAAAACAGGGTGCAGGACAAGGGGATCCCAAAGTCCCCTTAACACAGCAGGAATGTGCCATGATGACGAATCGAAGTCTACGGAACTGCTGCATGCAAGTTGTGAGGAGTTACACCGTATGAGAAGAAATCGAGTTGCAGCATTCCTGCTAAGTTAGAAGGGCGCGAAACAAACAAACAAAAAAGATGGACCAAATAAAGCTGCATGGGTAGAAAGTGAGGGAAATGGTAGTTTTGCCTACTACAGAGCACACAAGGCCAAGTGGGACAGTTAGATGTATGCGACCTAATGACTGGCGTGCAGTACCTGTTCTTCTGATGCCTTTAATGACTTATAGGTTTGGTCCAACACTCGAAGCTCATCCTGTAATCTCCGAAGGCGTCTGTTAGTGTGTGCAGAGGGAAGGCCATTCCAAACACGGCCACATGCAAGTTAACAGTGCATGCAAAAATGTAAAAATTAAATAAAACATAAGACAACAAAAACAAGAAACAGGAATGTGAAGCAGGTATTAGCCATTAGCAATATGGTAGTAAAATTCTTAGGGGACGTACACACAGGATGATTCTTGTTTTACAACAATAAACAATAATTGTTGGCGTGTATGTTAGGTGCAAACTTCAGAATCTCAGCAGAAATAGAAGGTCATCCAAGTATATTTACTTTATTGTTTTAGGAATAATTTGTACGCAGACATACTACTTATTCGATGTACTGCTTTTTACGCATACTAGATAGTAGGGAAGTGGGCCTATTTGTATACAGGCACAGACCACAAGGCCTGAGGATGCCATTAAGTTAAAAATAGTGTTGCAGAATGATGCATGTCAATTTTGAAACAATGGACCAACCAGACAAAGCTGGGGGCGGGACAAGCAGAGAGCACCGAGTGTTGACAAAAGTAACATTTATCAGTAAAGGCTTATATACAGGTTACAAAGGACTGTATGTTAAAAAAAACGAACAATCTGTTACCGAGAATCTCTAGTGATTAAAGCATTTTGAGTTCTTTGAACTCAGAAAAGTAAAAGGCTATTTAGCGTCTCATGTATTCTGGGTGTACGCCTCCTGACACAGAATCTGTAAGGGTTTGTGAGTGTGTGAAGAGAGTCAGGCACATGCATGAACATGAATGTCTGTATGTGTAGGTTTGTGCAGACAGGCAAGAGTCTGCAGGAACATCTCGTACCCCTCATTCAGCTCAGCGCGCTCCTCTGTGCGCTCCAGCTCAGCCTCAACAATCACCAGCTTACGGGCCACCTGCACATACACAGGCCAGTTCATGGGAAAATTACATACTTGTACTTATTAGCAAACTGAGAAGGAAGGAAAGGAGAAAAAAAAAAAAAATTCTACACATTAAACGAAAAAAACAACAACATGAAAACAAAGAAACAAGAAGGAAAAAAGACAAAACACAAAATCAAAAACAATAAAAAAAACTAAAGAAAAGAAAAAGACACACAGAAACAAATATAAAACAAAAACAAAGCAATAAAACAAAAAATGAAAACAAAGAAAAAAATGAAGCCAAAGAACAAAACAAACAAAAAAACAAAACTAAAAAATAAATAAATAAAATAAAGACAAAAACACAAAAGACGAAGAAAAAGAACACAAAAACAAACCAAAACAAATCAAAAACAAAATGAAACAACAAAGCTATATTTGATCAGATTACAAAATACGGCAAATCTTTTTTTTTCCCCATGCTGAACTGCAAGCATCTGCTTGCTCAAACTTTAAGTGTGAAAGGACATGTGGCTTGGCAGGAAGTCATTAATTTCTTTTTTTCGTGTGCACGCGCATGTGTGGTTTGGTGGCTGGGGAAACCTGCCTCCTCGTATTTGCGGTCGGCCTCCTCAGCAATGTGCTTGGCCTCCTTGAGCTGGATCTCCTGGATCTCCATCTTCTCCTCATCCTTCAGAGCTCTGTTCTCAATGACCTTCATGCCTCTGGAAGGAGGAAGCAAGAAATGGAGTGAAAGAGAGAACAAAATCTCTCTATAGCATCACTATGACTCAATTTGGTCCAATAACTCGCAACAAATTACATTCAAAGCCGCAAACGTGTCTGCAGCTAAGCTCTTGGATCAAAGACACCATTTTAGTGGAGTTTTCTTGAGCTGTTATTTATTTGTGTGTCTGTCTGTCTGTCTGTGTGTGTGTGTTTGTCCTTTATTTTTCCAGGAAGATCCCTTTGAGATAAAAGGAAATCTCTTCTTCCAGGGAGTCCTGGCCAAGATGACCGTACAAAAGTTTCACATAAAATAAAAACAAAAAAAAACAAACATACAACACACAAGACAAAATTATATACAGCCCAAGCAAAACAGTAATCATGAATCAACAAATTAATTAAAATAGCAAGATGGTTCAATCATTACACACTGCAATACATTTTTAAAATTATTCAAATGGTGAATTGCTTTTAGTGGAGTAATAGTTTGAAATTCATTCCACAACCAAGTAGCATAGTAAGAGAAAGCTGATTTTCTATGCTCTGAATGTACCCCAGGTACTTCGAATTGAATCCTGTTTGATGATCTGATGATATAGTTTTCTACATAAGCATAAAGGACTAGTAATGTAATTTGGAAGCATACCCAGCAATGCCTTTACAGTAAACAATAACACATGTGATACTCTTTCTATGTGAAAACCATGAATTGTAAAAATAGACCGCAGTAGTCATAGAACAGCGGTGTAAAAATAATGTATTTAGTTGTTTGCATTTAAAACTATTTTCAGTTGTAATAAAGTAAGCTGAAAAGTATAAAAAGAGTCCTGAAGGATTTCAATAGCTTGAGCCACCGAGGATGCAGTTGAATAAATAATTGCATCATCAGCATTAAAAAATGTAACTTTGCAGATGTTATTCCATCTGTTAGCTCTGTTATCTTCTAAACCTGTGTTTTCTTGTAATATCACAACAGTCCCCATCAGAACAGATGAATGGGAGGGAAAAAGCACTTAAGAGCTACACCAGGTCTCGGTACAGAGTGGTTCTATGCAGGCGCACTGGGCTGGAGACAGAGGGCCTCTGTGTGGGCAAACAAAGGAAGGGAAATGCAGCCTAGTGGCTCTACAAATTGCTGTTTATTCAGGAACCCACTGGCTCTACGCAAACAGCTCACGTCAGTTGTTTAGGCCAAAAACAGCATCACAACTACAACCGTCCGCAATGCCCTTGATTTTTCTGCTATATGCAGAGGCATTTCAAGGGCTTTCAAAAAACATGTCTAGTCAGTGCATTTTAAATAAAAACAAAAAGAACAAAAACAAACAAAATACTATAAATTTTAAATGTTTTATATAATTCAAATTATTATGTATTTAAATAATGCTTCATTTTATAGCATATTATAAATATTATATAAAAAAGTGTGTATATATATATATATATATATATATATATATATATAA